GAGAATAGCCAAGTCTAAGGCCAGAGGTGAGATGTGCATGTCCTCAAACAGGGACCTCACCTGCTCCTGTCACCTTCCCTGTTCTTTCCCAGGGTGACATTTGAAGAATGTGACAATTTGAGAAGGTGACATTTGGGAATTTCTCCATAACTCATGTGAATTGTGTCGTACCATGGCCTGGCCTCCACATGGAGGAGTGTGGGGTGCACTGCCCAGGGAATTACACTGTCCCCATGCATTTCACACTCCTCTGTCTGCCACCAGCCCTTGGTGACACCTGTGGCATGTCCACCTGTCCCTCAGGCGTCACCAGGAGTCAGCACCAGGGCCTGGGCCAGCACTCTGACATTTCTAACCTCTCATTTCCCTCCCCACAGCTGACAAAGAGGCTGACGAGTACTACATGAGGAGGAGACACCTGCCCGACCTGGCAGCCCGGGGCACGCTGCCCATCAACGTCATCAAAATGTCCCAGCAGGGCAACCAGCGGGACAGGCCCCGCCGTCCCATCAGGGCCATGTCCCAGGACAGGGTGCTGTCCCCGGAGAGGATCATGCCCGAGGAGTTCAGCATGTCCTACGAGCGCATCCTGTCGGACGAGCAGCTGCTGTCGGCAGAGCGCCTGCACTCCCAGGACCCGCTGCTGTCCCCGGAGCGCTCGGCCTACCCCGAGCAGTCCATGTCCAGGGCACTGTCACACACCGACGTCTTTGTGTCAACACCGGTCTTGGATCGCTACAGGATGTCAAAAATGCACTCCCATCCCAGTGCCTCAAATAACTTGTACAACACCTTGGGTATGAACCCGACCTCGGCCAAGCGCCAAGCGTTCGCCTCGCGCCGGCACAACACGGTGGAGCAGCTGCATTACATCCCCGGGCACCACCACCACTACCGCACCGCCAGCAAAACCGAGGTGACTGTTTGACACGACCCAGTGCATTGTAGATACTCCTTAAGGACTGGGGTGGCCACAGCACCCCGTTCTGCAGTGGCCTTATAGGCCAAGGTAACCTCTACTAACTCAGTGTCTGCAAAGACTTCTCTGGCAGTCCCACCCACGTTGTTTTTAAAGCCACCCCTTCATCAGTGACACAGGAAGAACTGAAGCGGCAGTCAGACACTAGTGAGGGACGACAGAGGGAATTTCCTGGTGTGCATCAGTTTCTGTCAAAGAAAGCCATAGTAATCGATGGCTCCTTCCAAGGGCTCACCTGCATTATCCCATAGTTTCCATGAATTCAGGACTTTTCAGTTGCTCCAAGGAGAAGCAGCCTGAGACAGGGAGGAGGAAATGCAGCCTCCCCCCACAATCCTGGCAGGAAGGGGCCTCGTTCTTGGCCCTCACGTTTGGCCTTTCTGTAGCAAGTAGGGAAGTCCTGGCTGCTGGGGCCAGCCCCAGGCTGCTCGACGCCCGTCAGCACCCACACATCTGTTCTCTGTCACCCTTGGAGCAAATCCAAGGGCAGACTTTCCTTCGGGACTGGCAGATCTAGGGACAAGAATAGCCTGGCTGAGAAATAAAGTTTTAGTTTATACTAAATATACTCATAAGATAAAAAACATACTAGTGCCTACAAATCGCCTGCTCTCTCAGTGTAGGAAGTAGTGGGGTTGATGTGTTCAATAAGCACAAATATGCTGAAACGCTTGTTAGACCCTTTTCTCCACTCATTCTAGTATCTTGGTGTCTCCAACATGTAAATAGGAAGGAGGAAGAGGGTTTCTCTTCCTCCAGCTTCTCGCCACTGCTGAACCTGAAGCAGCAGAACCCGTTCAGCTCCACACTGCTGACCTGTGCTGGGGGAGCTCCCGACCCCACCGAGGCCGCCGTGCCTCTCACCGAGCCTGGATTCTCCCCAGAAGTTTCTTTTCCCTATAGCATTTTCCACGGCCCAGTTCCCCTGTTTCTGAGCGTTTTCTCCTCCCATTCACAGCCTAGAATCCATATGTAGCAAATCTTTTTCCAGCCCTTAGCAGAGGCACAAGGCTGAGGGTGTCTGTTTACCGAAAAGCAGGTCGGTAACTTTCCGTGGTTCTCTCTCCCCGCAATGGCCTCCCAAGAAAACCTTCCAAATTCCAATTCCACTGAGTCCCAATCCTAACCATGAAGACAGTTACATTTCATGCATATAAATTATATATCCAGCATAATTATAATTAATGGGCATGTTGTATATCTGATATAACGCTAATTAGATACTGTATATTTGTAAAATCTTTAAAACATAGACTCGTGGGTCCAGAATTTGAGAGGGTTTTACCTTTGGCTTTCCAGACAGATTGGGCTTTGCTTTGGTTTTTTGTTAGATTTGGGTTTGATTTTTCTTTTCATTTTTCCCCCCCCCCTTTGATTTTTGTTCCTACCAAACTCTGTAGAACCGACTCCCACCAGAACACCCTTCTGCAGCCAGGAAAGGGTCTCAGAGGGTTTGAAGGCCAGCCAGAGCTGGTGCTGGAGCTGTGGGTACTGGACACTGTCCCCAGTGTGCCCTTGAGGCCCCAGCACATGCACACACCCCGTGGGTCAGGGCAGGCACGCTCCCTCCTCGGGGTGAGGTGATGTCTGACTTCAGGCTGTGAGCACATCCCTTGCACTTCTCTTCATGTCCCACGTCCCCATGACAACTCTTTGCCTACACAACTCTTCATTAGGCATCCCTGAACCTTGCTCTGCCCTCCTCCCTCCCCTCAAATACCTCCCACCTCCTGGCCTTAATGACATTCCCAGCCCAACTGTGCCAAGTCCTGTAGCAAACAATGATCATAGAGTGCGAGTCTCCTGTGGAGGCTCTGGTGCAGCACCAGCTTTGTCTGGTGCAGGGCAGGCAGGAGGAGCACGTCCTTACCCCAGTGGGACACACAGGTGGGCCTCAGTGGGGTGTCCAGGTGGCCTTTCTCCTTCCCAGGCTGTCCTGGAGCTGCTCCTGTTTCCAGAGCTTTATCCTGCCCCATCTGATGGAGACTGTGCTGAGAAGGACTCCATCAGTCAGAGGTTACTGGGGCTTTGTTTGACGGAAACTGAGCTGGGAGGGAATAAACAAATAAATAAATAAATAAATAACAGTCTCCAGGGTCAGATCCTGCAGCCTTGGGCAAAATCACTCTGGGCAACAACCAGAACTGTCTGTGGATCAGGGTGGCAGTCCATGGCACGGGAGGGATGGGAGAGAACAGGCTCACAGCTCGTCTCCTGCCCCCTCCCTCGATGGACACTACTCTCCCCTGACTACCTCCAAGCTCCTCGGCTCAGCCCCTGGATTTCTCCTCCCAGAAGACAATCCCTGTGAAAACATTGCCCTGCTGACCTTCCCACAGGCCAGAGGGTGGGACTCGTGTGCAGAGAAGAGAAGCTCTCACGGCAGATGGGGAGGCAGCCCCTGCTGAGGTTCTGGGGCTCTTCCACGCTCCCTTGGGCCAAGCAAAGCCAGGGAGATCTGAACACTGTGGGAGAGAAGAGTCCACTGAAGAGTCTCCAGGAGCTGTGGTGGCAGAGCTGGAGAAGAGGTGACGTGGGAGGCTGTGGGTAGGTGAACACTCCTCTCTTTCCATGTCCATAGCTGTGTGTCTCAAGCTCTACTCCTCATCTAAATGTTCCATTTGTGAGCTAAGAAGTTGCTGGACCAGATACAAATTTGGGAATTTTTCATTCAAGCAGCCCATGCCGATGCTGAGTGGGGCCATTTGGCCTCTGTGTCTTCTCCTGTTGTGGCTAACAAATATCACAGGCCTCTGCTTTTTTTGTGTCTTACCTGGGCAAGAATCCTCCAGAGAAATCTCTCAGCCTCATTTCCTTGTCTTTTTTCCACCCACTCAACTGTTTCAAGCAGATATGTCCCACAAGGAGCCTCTTTAGGCCAAATCTCTTCAGGGACTCTACCACCACCAATTTTCAGCAAATTTCCTCATGCCCTGGATGCCACCATGTGTTCCCTCAGCTCACTCTGTGTGCTGTGTGTTGGTGGATGGGGCAGGGGCATTTCAGCACTCACAGGTGTCCTTAGGTCATTTTCCTCCCTTATTCCTCCTTCAGAGGATTTGCCACTGAAAGAACACTCGGTCTGGGACTGAGTGTCATCACCCACAGCCTGGTCCCCAGCACTTCAGTTCCCATGGGATGATAATGGGAATTCCCATTCCTGTGGAGGGCTCAGACCACAAGGTCTGTGAAGTGCTCTGAGACCCTCTCACAACAGAAACTGTAGAGCAGCAAAGCGTTTTTGTTAACCTCGTTTGTCCTTGTCCTGACTCGTGCTGTGTGATGTGCCACATCCACTGTGCCCAGGGGGAGAGTGCTGGGCTGGGATTGCCCAGGTTCCCCCTGCTCTCCTCCTGGGCAGGGTCCTGGCAGGCTGCAGCTCCAAGGGACGCTGCTCCCTGCCCTGGGACCTTCCTGCTTCCCTCTCCTCGTGTCTGAGTCACCACAACATCCTGCACTCAGGAGAAAAGCGGGAAGCAGCCACATTCCTCTGTACAGTAAAATAGAACCTGCCTTGATGAATCTCATATACTCTGAAGAATTGATCTGTATTTTCTCCACCCACAGGTGCAAACAAACACCTGGGGAGTGTCCAGTTCCCAGAGTGCATGTGCAGGGACTGGGGAAGGGGGATGTAGAAAATTTATAGTATTTCCTACAAGCTGATAATTATTTGCATTCCCTGAGCAGCAACACGTCCTGGATGGCTGCACTGGGTTTTATACAATTCTCTGTGTATGTGTATATAGATACAAATATATATATATATACATACATACTGTAAAATGCAATCAACACCTTCTGACTGACCCTGTACCAACTGAAGCTTCCAAACTGTGTTGAATCATTCTTTGAAATGTGGAAAACTGTTTTTAATGAACCACACACAGCACCACACGGAACAGAATCTTTGTCATAAAAAGCCTTCTAATGCCACTAAACCGTGTTTTAAGGGGAAAAAAAAAAAAAGAAATATTTTTCAATGTTTTAATGTTCCTTTTATAAATGATGATCTGTTACTTGGGGATGGGGGTGGGTGGGAAGAAACAGAGACAGTTGTCCAGGAGTAAGCCCTCCTTCCCTGGCCTGGATTTAATTTCTGTCTGCTGAGCCTGGCTGGCTGCAAAGCTGCTCCCAGGAACCTGAGCTTCCCACGTGCACATTTCTGTTCTGTCAGAAGCATTCCCACCAGGAATCTGCAGGAGCTTGGCATCAGGTTTTTGTAGTTCCCGGTAGCTGGGAAGACATCCTCATCTTCTTCCACCACCACAAACAAAATCTCCATGGAACAGGATAACTTTAGTTGTGTTTGGGATGCGTGTTCTATTTGTGATCAATTTGCCATCTTCAGCTCACGGAGAAATAGCTTGTCTTAGTTTAGTTTCAGGTTTACTGCTTAATCTGGAAGGAGGGGCCCTGCTGAAATACCTTTGGCACAAACAGATTTGGTGTCCAGGCGTGTTTCAGCTGAGTGAAAGAAGGAAAACGTGTGAGAAAGGGGCTTAAATATTTCCTAGTGAGTGTTGTTAGCAATAAGCCCGTGTTGGCTTCTGTGCTGTGTGTCCACAGGCAGGGGGGAGCAGGGATCATTCCCAGCTCTCCGTGGTGAGAGGTGCCCTCCCGAGCCCAGATCCCAGCTGGGAAAAGCCAGATGTGCTTCACCCAAGGCCAGGGGAGACTTGGATGGGGCTGTCTGAGTGTGTCAGTGTTAATCTGAGAGATCTCTGCTCCCAGCACCCCGGGTCTCCACCGTGGCCACCCACACCATGTCCAGGAGGTCTCCATGCCAGGAGGTCTCTCTCCATCCCAGGAGATCTCCATCCTTGCAGGTCTCCATCCTAGAAGGTCTCTCTCCATCCTGGGAGGTTCTCTCTCCATCCCAGGATTCTCCATGCCAGGAGGTCTCTCTCCATTCCAAGAGGTCTCCATCCTAGGAGACCTTTCTCCATTGCCAGGAGGTCTCCATCCCAGGAGGTCTCTCTGTGTCCCAGAAGGTCTCTCTGTCCCTGGAGATCTCTCCTTATCCCTGGAGGTCTCTCCTCATCCCACAAGCTCTCTCCCCATCCCTAGAGGTCTGTCTCCATCCCTGGAGATATCTCCCCACCCTGGGAGGTTTCTCCCCATCCTAGGAGGTCTCTCCCTATCCCCGGAGGTCTCTCCCCACCCCTGGAGGTCTCTCCCCATCCCTGGAGGTCTCTCTCAATCCTGTGAGGTCTCTCCCCATCCTGGAGGTCTCCATCCCACCTCTCAAGTTCTCTCCCACCCCTGGAGGTCTCTCCTCGTCCTGGGAGGTCTCTCCCCATCCCAGGAGATCTCTCCCATCCCTGGAGGTCTCCATCCCATCCCTGGAGCTCTCCATCCCATCCCTGGAGGTCTGTCTCCATCCCTGGAGGTCTCTCTCTATCCTGTGAGGTCTCTACCCATCCCTGGAGGTCTCCATCCCACCTCTCAAGGTCTCTCCCATCCCTGGAGGTCTCTCCTCATCCCACAAGCTCTCTCCCCACCCCTAGAGGTCTGTCTCCATCCCTGGAGATATCTCCCATCCCTGGGAGGTTTCTCCCCATCCTAGGAGGTCTCTCCCCACCCCTAGAGGTCTCTCCCCACCCCTAGAGGTCTCTCCCCATCCCTGGAGGTCTCCATCCCACCCCTAGAGGTCTCTCCTCATCCCACAAGGTCTCTCCCCATCCCTAGAGGTCTGTCTCCATCCTGGAGGTCTCTCTCAATCCTGTGAGGTCTCTCCCCATCCCTGGAGGTTTCCATCCCACCTCTCAAGGTCTCTCCCACCCCTGGAGGTCTCTCCTCATCCCTGGAGGTCTCTCTCTGTCCCAGGAGATCTCTCCCATCCCAGGAACTCTCCATCCCATCCCTGGAGGTCTCTCTCCGTCCCTGGAGCTCTCCATCCCACCCCTGTGCCGGGAGGAGCCTCTCCCCCTCACCCTCTGCTCCGCCGCCGCTCCTGCCCGCCCGCAAACCCCTGAGACATTTTTGTAGCAAGAATTTCTTGGCTTTGAGAAAGACACTTCTTACTGTAACATTTTTAGTTCGGGGGACAATATTTCCTAAGAGGGGTTAAGTGGATATTTTTGTGCTTTAGCCCAGTTTATGGATTCCATGTTTATTATACAGTAGTACTGAAGAGGAAGTACATTTGTATCTGTAACTTTGCACAGACTCTTGGTTAACCATTAAACAAGCTTCAAGATGAGCAGTATTTGACTGTTTTTCTCTGTATTATTCTTGTTGTTATACTTACCTGTAAAAGCACATTCTGTATGTACTGTAAACAAAAATATTATCAGTTTAGTAAAATTTAGAGTCTTAAGGATTTTTCCACTTTTGTCAGTAACAACTATTTATGGATTAAAAAATAAAGGCAATTTCAACATATAAATTGTTTCTTTTTGATATCTATTGGGGGGAAATAAAAGCCATTTTCTTGGCAGCCTTCCCAATCTTTGTAACCAGCGTTTGAAAGGTAGATACCTGTGATTCTGTGTGTAGTTAAATAGCATCTATTAAAATGAATGCTGCAAGGTCTGGAAGACTCATTATTTTTATGTATTTATTTACTGCATTTCATCATCTTGCCAGGAAAAAGCAGGGGGAGCAGAGAGACATTACCATTTGCTCTGAGACAATTTTGTCTCACAAGCCTGGAAGATTTTATTTTAACCTTGCCCTTCCTTAAGTTTGCCTCCATAAACCATGACTTTTTCTCCATCTAGAAAGGCCTGAATTGCAAAGCTGGAACCTGTGGAATGTCCCACGGTGGTGAGGCTTCCACTGGGGCTTTGCTTTTGCCCTTGGCAGTGGAGCAAACCCAGGATTTTCCTCGTTACCTTTCCAGGATGGGAAAGCTCCAAGGAGCTCAGGGTGGGTCTGGCTGAGCAGCCCCCATTGCCACCCCAGAGGGGTCAAACTGAATTTTTATTTCTACCAATCCTGAACCTGGGCTTCCTTACCAATCTGCCCTGCTGGGAACCATGGCAGGGATTTTTTCCTTGCCTTTTGTGAAGGAAATGTATAATTTCATATTTCACATTGCTGGTGCCCCCAGGGACTGTTCCCACTGCTGCCTTGTGTGGGGCAGAGGTTGTCACCTCTCCACCACTCACTCACCAAGCCCCAAGCTCTGTTTTCAGTATTTGGCACATTGGGATTGCCCAGACTGGGAAAAACAAAGATTTCAGGATGAGCTGGCTGGGACTGCCTGAGTGGAGCCAACAGGGAAGGTGGAGAGGGATTCTTTACAAGGGATGGAGTGACAGGAAGTTTAGAGGGATATTGGGAAGGAATTCGTCCCCATGAGGATGGGCAGACCCTGGCACAGGTGCCCAGAGCAGCTGTGGCTGCCCTGGATCCCTGGCAGTGCCCAAGGCCAGGCTGGACACTGGGGCTTGGAGCAGCCTGGGACAGTGGAAGGTGTCCCTTGGACACTGGGAGGTGTTCTTGCCATGGCAGGGGTGGAAAAGGATGATCTTTGAGACCTCTTCCAACCCAAAGAATTCTGGACATTGGATGAGTAGGAAGATGACACTGGGGCTGAGAGTACCCTGGCATGGCAGAAGGTGCCCCTGCCATGGATGATCTTTCATGCCCCCTCCAACCCAACTCAGTCTGTCATTCAATAATTCTGTATCTTTCTGCTACTTTGCTGCTCAGCTTTAGTAGACCAGACTTGAGTAGATCAAACTTTAGTAGATCAAACCAGCTTTGAGGTGCCCTCCCTAAATCCCAGGGAAATCCCAAATCCCAGCTGGGAAAAGCTCACCCCCATCTTCCAGGCTGGGTCCAGAGGGACCAAGGCCCTCTTGCAGCCCTTTGGCCAGGCTTGTGGTGTCCTGTGTGGGCAGAGCTCAGCCAGGCAGGCACAATCAGCACTTCCCAAGGAGCACGTGGACCCAGCAGAGTTGATTAAAATGCATTTTTCAGGGAGAAGTTTCGTTTTGCCTGGCAGTTCTATTCATAATTACCCAATTCTGTGTAGCACTAATAAGAGGGGATGGAGCAATGGGGAATTAGCTAATTTCTCCACTTGCCATAAAAGTTATTGAGGAGAACGTCAGGATTTGTGGTGTTGAGAGCAAGTGTGACAGAGACGAAGCTGAGACTAATTCCTACCTCAAAAGACAGCAAATCCCACTGCTCCCAACCCCTGTCTTAATTATGGCAGCACTCAGGTGCAGAGATCACTGCTTGGTTCACTCAATTCACCTTCCCTGGCCTCACTGGTGACCTTCTCAGCCTCTCTGGTGGTGGCTCTGGTGGCCTGGCCAGCCTGGCACCACCCCTGGTGAGGGCAGGGCACCCTAAGTGTGACCAGAGGGACACCTTGGTGGCAGTGCCAGGACAGGAGGAGCCCCTGGCCAGCACCGGTGCCCTGGGTGCTGTGGTGGGATGTCCCAGGCTGAGCCAGAGCTGGGGTTCACTTGATGAGGAGGTGTTTGGTCAGAGGTTGGACTTGATGACCTCAAAGGTCTTTTCCAGCCTGGTTAATTCTGTGACCCCTCCCTGGGAATGGGGCACAGGGCAGGTCTGAGCAGAGGGACAGGGTGGGCAGGTCCCTGTGACCCTGCAGGAGCCTCAGGGGGGGCCCAGAGGCAGCAGAGAACAGGAGCAGCTGATGGACCCTTACCTGAAAGGATGGGAATGATGGGAGGCACCTGAGGAACAATAAAAGTGAATTTTTGTCCACTGTCACTCCCACAGCAGGGCCCTGGTGTCCCCTTGTCACAGCAGCGCTGGCTCAGAGCCATTCCATCACCAAAGCAGCAATTCCTGCACCTGGGAAGGCTTGGGGTGCCCACACATGAAAAAAGACAGGACTGTGCCCATTCCTGGAATGACAGAATGCAGGAAAACTGCTGGGAGGGCCCAGAGGTGCTGCTGAGGTGAGAGCGGCCACTCCATCAGTCACATCCTCCCAGCAGCTCTGCCACTCTTCCTGGGCCCCAGCAAAAAATAACCAGGAATGATTCCCAAGCTAAGGATTAGTTCTGCTCCCAATTGCCCTGGAAAGATGCTGGGAAATGATGAGGAAATTGAGGACTACGGGGTAATTAACACCTGTCAGCGTGGGGTTAAAAAAGCAGATCCTGTCAAACAATCTCCAATCAATTCTCTGAAGTTCTTCCCGCTGGGGCGGGCAGGATGGAGGGGAGGTGCAATGAGTTCCACCTTTCCCACAGCCCTGCATCCTGTGCTGCTGGATAATCTGAGGGGGAATCTCATCCCTGCACATCCCTGGGGGAGCTGGTGGCAAAGGAGGAGCTCAGAGAGGGGTTCAGACTCTAAGGGCCACCTCAAGGGGTGTTTGGGCACCCAGGGCAAGGCCACACACAACCTACAACACTGAGCTCAGCAATCCAGGGACAAAACTGAAATTGTCACTGCTAGAAGTTTCAGGAGATGCAAAGAATTTGGGATGAAAAGAGCAACAAAAGAGGGAAATTCTGAGTCAGGGTGGGCTGGGTCCTTCGAAGAGGAGGTGTCCTAATGCCACCAGTTCTCTCAGACCTGCAGGGACCAGAGCAGGGTGGATGTGGATGTCTGAGTGGAAAAGCATTCCAGCCCTAAACAGAGTTGAGGAAATGCTTTTCAACGAGGTTTTTACAAAGCTCAGCATTTTAATTCAAAGTGAGATGCTGAGGTGACAGGGTCACTGCATATAGGCACTTTTAGGGGGTGAAAAGTGTAGGGTATTAAACAGCTCTTTAATCCAGGCTCAGAAGGGGCAGCTGCTGAGAGCTGGGGCCAGATCCACTGCCCTGGGAAACAAAAAAACTGTCAAGGAGACACAGAATGGGAGATGTGTGCCTCCAATAAATGCTGGGAGGCTGCCAGCACTGCCCTATTGCCACAGGGATGCTCTGAACAGGAATCCACCTTCCTCCCAGCTGTTTTGCACAGCTCAGCCGCTCCTGCTGTCACTCGAGGCTCCCTTCCAGCCCCGGGCTGTTTTCTGCCCACAGAGGAGGGATCTGTGCCCACGAGGTGTTTCTGCCCCAGCAGTCACACACTCAAAGGCATTTAATAATGAATGGGGCTTGGAAGAGCTTTCAGGAGCATTTCCAGTGCCTGCAGAGCAGAGGGGACGTTGGAAGGAGAGACCTTGGGAAGTGACTCACGCCAGGCACAGAGTGAGTCAGGAGCACTCTGGGGATAGGATGCAGCTCCCCATCCTCTCTCCTTGTCCAAATGCCAGGCAGCAGCTCTTCTGTTCTGCCTCCAGCTTCGGGAAGCACTTCTTTATTTCTCTGAATCTGAAGCACTTTCTTATTTATTTGAATTTGAACTTCAGGGCTGCCGACAAAGCTCAGCTGCTGCCAGAAGAGCCTCAGCTCTGCAGTGGCCACAGGCTGCTGGGGGACTGAGGGGGGACAAACCTCACAGGTGACCTGCTCCGTGTGTCCCTGTCACCCACATGTGGCCAGGAAGGTTCCTGTGCTCACCTTGCTGCCTCTCCTTGCTTGGCACCCAGGCTGCATCAGGTCAGAAAGCAGCCCAGGGCTGGCTCAGGGCCTTGCAGGTGGTTTAGGGTCACAGGGCTGCCCCAGAGCTCCTGAGGAGCTGGCCCTGCTCAGGGGCTGTGCAGGGTTAATGGCAGCGCCTGTGGGGATCCAAACAAAGCTCAGGAGCTCAGCACTCATTCCATGAAGAGTTTTTCCTAATATCCAATCTAAACCTGAGCCATTCCCTCCCCTCTTGTCCCCTGGGAGCAGAGCCTGACCCCCGTGTCTGTCCCCTCCTGTCAGGAGCTGTGCAGAGCCACAGGGTCCTCCCTGAGCCCCCTGCATGCAAGCAGAGAGTCCAGAGTGACTGCTCTGAGTGATAGCAGAGAGCCTCAGTGCTCATTAGAGACAAATTGCACTGCCTGCTGTGAGCAAAATAAAGAGGCATTTACCCAGGCTTTCCTGGAGGCTGTGTTTGCACAGAAACATCCCCTCCATGGGGCTGAAGAGCTGCTTCCAGTCTCTGGGGTGGGTAAATGAGGAATGCCTGGCAGTGGGGTGGCCATGGGGTTGTTGTGCCCTCTTGGAGGGAGGTTGGCCTTGTCACCAGCTCTGTACAAATCATGAACAGGACAGGACTGCTGGGAACGTGCCTTGAGCTGTTGGATTTTCCAGCCTCAGCCTCATTCCATGGGTATGACAATGGGAAGATGCCAGCAGCTCACATCCCAGGCAGCAGACACAGAACTCAATGTCACAACTCACTTTATGAGTTTTGTGACCAATCCCACAAAGCAAAAGCACATTGACAGTAGCTCCATCCAACCACTATAAGCACAGGTACCTTTGGTTAAACAATGCTTGCTTATTTCAAATACAATACCTGCTTGTGAGCCTTCAAACACAACGCACAGAGCTCCATTACTGAGCTTAGAACTTCCCAATATCTCACTGGATAAACTTTTCTGCAGCTTAGGGAGTTATTCTAGACAAGCATTAATACACAGACCATTGTTCTATTTGTCCTTGCTTTTCTACTTTTTACATAATTTTTCTGCTGCCCAATCTCATGGCTGCTGCTGAGCT